CAGGCCGCTAGTTGGAAACTTACCATCCGATGTCAATCTTCCTTCCTGGGACTTCGACTTTTTTTTTTTCTGGTAAAGAAAATGATTTTTTTTCGAGGTTGAAAGTTGAAAGTGTTGAAGACTAAGGAGACTTTTCGAAGTTGTAAACGCTGGAGCGATAGAGTGGACTTAAGCGAACTTCGTGCTGTAAGGTCAAACCGATTACTATGTCTTTGAGGTTGAAAGAACTGCCGTAGAGTTTCTACTGCATTTCTTTCGATCTCAAGACATAGTAAGATCCTGGAGGGTGAGACTCGAGATGTAACATCATCGAGGAGTTTTGATTGGAGGTAATGGTAATCCAGGCTTTCTGCATTGGAGTTTTGACCAAAAGACAAATTATTTTGTGTGACATCTCCGGGGAGCAGCACCAAATCGAGATCGGATGGGAGCGGATCTTTTAAACGGTCCTGGTGCCACTGTGGCCCACCACGATTTCAGCACGATTATTTCAATGCATTCCAAACTCTCATTGTGACCAAAATCGGAACAGGGACCCACATTGGTTTCACTTCCGAAAGTGTGACAGTAATTCATATTACTATCTCTCTCTTGGCTGCGGTTAACACAAAGCATCCACATGAACTCCTGTAAACTCGTGAAGGGATCGCAACCCAATCGTCTATCATTTACAGACGTTGGTCGTAAGATGTGTTTATAACGGTATTAAAACTGAAAATTAGATGATAACATGCATTGTAACGGTTCCATGTAGTTCCTAGCACGTTTCAGCATGTTACTTGAAGACTTGTAAGCAGAAGAAGCAACAAACCAAACTGTCACTCAAGGATCAGATTAGCTTACTTGTCATTTCATTATATGCTGGCTGGACACATGGCTTTCTGTGAAGACTACTGGTTTACATTTGAGTGCAAGTCTCACCGACCAAAGCTTTAGGAGACGCGGTTCAGATAGTTACTTGGATTTCTCGAGGGTTATCTCGAGACCAATTTGCACCAAGCCATTAAAGGTTGTTCAATGGACACTTGCCTCTGCGTGACCAATTCTAGGAAAGTCGTGTGACCTCAACTAGCATTGGTATGTTGCCGGCTTCTATTCTGAACTCATTGTTGATTACCTACAGAGGATTATGAATTCTAGTGATCTCATTATGAAAGCCCTGTGTGATTCAAATTATTTTATAGGCTAGAAAATCAGCATTAGCAGAACGAGAAATGCAGTCACTGTGCCAAATTATGTGCGAGCAGAGGGAAGGAAATGAAGCGAAGTATAAGATGAGCACTTCAAACTCACGAGTACGATGCTTTCAAGTTACTTCATTCAACGAGCTTGCTGCGATTTCTCCTGGTGGTTAGTTCTCAATTGCTCATCCATGAACAAATGTACAGGTGCATCATCTATAAGCATGAATAGGATGATAAACTTTACATCCATTCAAAGTTTTATATTATACATTCGTCAGGCAGAGTTTCGTGATTCTCCACAAGAGCAACAAAGAGACAGATTGTATTGGAATTAGATTCCTTCAGGAAGTGTATACGTACAACTGATCTTAGATATTGTATTTATTGTGTGTACGGTAGACGAGAAATCTTGAATATATTTGAATTAGTCTCTCGTATTGTACATGCGAAATGTATATTGATATTTAAAGATTAAAGTGAGCCCATTTTTCTTTTATCTTGCGATCAACTTTCAGCCTGTCCCTATGCGGTTTTTTTGATAATTAAACTCTTGTTTGGATTCAATTTTTGCTTCGTTCTTTCTGCATTAGTCTTTGTACACTTTGAATACATGATAATTAAATTGATATTTCTTCATTGAAAATTCAAGGAAGCCCAGAATGTGCACAATTTGCGGGTTTACTTCTTGTTTTGTTTGTAAATTGTACGAAATTTTATCCACTACATATTTTTTGCGTTTCGTAACCAAATTGGAACTTTTTCTGGCTATTTTTTTACCAAACGCGAAAAGAATTGGTGAATAATGTTGAGCAAGAAATATTGCCAACAAGTGTAATCACAGTCTGCACAAATTGTCTTGAGATTCTGATTCACGCGGAAGTGCAAGTATAATGGAAGGAGGGAGATGATGTATGATAAAATGCTGTAATATTCTGCGATCTCCTCTAATATCACCCTGTGTTGACAATGGATTGACGAGGGTGATGTTCGGTACTCAGAGAGGCACACTTACCTGTTTTATTCAAAGATTTTGTATTATTTTAAGCAAGCGGATAAACTGATGTAATGACATTCTCCAACTTGAGGCGATGTTGTTCTGTGGAGACAAGTGGACCAATGCGTAACATGGATTTGCATGCACTGCACGTCCTTTGCACGGGCTATCGGTTGGGAGCCGTGCTTTGCTTGCATGTCTAGCCTACACGCCTAATTTAGACTTTTCTCCTTAACGTATTTCCCATCACAATTCAGCTGGAAAGTTTCAACGTCACAGGGCTTCATGGGAATCATGCCTAAATAAGATTCGCTCCCCTCTGGAGGTGGACGTAATTCTCAAAGCACTCCACAGGACGTCCAGTTTATGCGGATGTGGTCACTTGCCGTATTGTTTGATGTGGGTATGTCTATGGTGGCTGAACGTCTGGAATTTACGATGGTTCTGCTTTCCACCAAATCACATGTTGGAGAATACTATTGAATATGCATGAGGTTAATCCTCGCACTAGGACCATAACTTTCTTAACCCAAAAGGCGCCCCCGGTGGAAAGATGCTACAGGAAGACAGTGGGACAAAGCCATGTGCCGCTGTCAGTCACATCGTATGTGCCCTCATAATTTCCGAGTATTCTTGATGTGAGCAAGTTAACAAGTGTACCACGTACCCAAATCATGGAACAGGAACCTTCGCAAGCTCCGTGGTTGGTAGATTCACGGCACTTTGTGCATCCGCATGATTTCCTCTTGTGTCCTGTAATGAGGATGGATTTCTCTCCGCAGTTACTGGCATATCCATGGATGAATTTTCCAGCTCAAACGCCAAGATTCTCTTTGTTTCCATCCCATCTAAGGCAATGTGCGCCGTAAGCTAGTTCGTGGAAAGCCTTGGCATTATTACTGGTAATATCCATGGTGTGCACCTCAGCTTGACATGTATTCTTCTTAACCGGAGGTTATGTTTTCTTACGGAAATAAAGACATATACGGCCAATCCCAGCACAAAATCTGCAAGGACAGACCGCTTTAACAACGAAATAACAATTTTGGAATTGAACCGCGTGGGAATTCTAGATTCTGTGGAGATATACTATAATATTATGACTAACTTCGCAGTAGGAATATTTGAATTCCACAGTGGGCTCGGTGTTCGGTACGGTGTGTTCGAGACCGAATACTTGTGCAGGAACTTCAGTATTGTATTTCAGTTCTGGAAGGCTGACTAATGCTCGAAATCTGAATTTCCCCCCCAATTTTGCCATCGATCTCACTGCTATCTGTATCTCCACCGTAACAATCATAATTTTTGACAGCAATCGCGGTTCGAATTAATCTGCCTCGATAGACGATGTGATAGAGGTCGAATGGACCACCCCCGCCCGATGTGATCGGTCATTCTGTCTTTCACTTCGCGATCAGTCTAATTTAGGGCTCAACGTCCCTCGTTTCCTTCGGCAATACCCCGATCTCGGTGCGGATGGAGATCTCAGGTCAAATCAGTCCCTTCCTCAAAGCTTTGAAGGCATTCCAACACAGAATCCAGCAATATTGCCAGAAGGATAGGGACTGGATCGAAACCGAAACCGAAACCGAAGGGAAGTCCGATGGGGCCAGCCAGCCAGCCCCAATATCGCAACAACGACGAGTAAGAATTGGTGACTATCTCAATCGAATGGAGACAGCTGTCCCGCCGTACAGAAATTCTACATACGAGTATCGAACGATCGCGGTGTGCATCGAGGGCCACCTCAAGTTCCTGTCAGAGTCGGACCAGAAAGATTCTCGATCCTCCTGCCAGATTTGGACCTACTGGCTCTCAGGTTCTCTCCTCCCGTCAGGAGCCCGCCCGCCCGCCCGCCCGCCCGCCGGTCATCACCGATGTGGAAGGTACGGGTGAGTTTACACGACGGTCTGCTTCTGGCAGGAAAAGAACGGCAGGCCGGGCTTGCATCCCCACACTCTGGGGGCCGTCACAGAACCAGATAGAGATGATGCTTCTGGCCAGTACCGGTTTGGTCCAGTCTTTGACTGGCGTGCGCAGGAATTCTGACCAGGCGGTCAGGCGGAAAACCACCGGGACGGGCTGGTCGAAACCGGCACGTCAGACACAGCCATCGTGTGGCTAAACGTCCGGGCGGTACTCTTCCAGGTCGAGATGGCAGGGATCGGAGGATGGCCGCAAAAGAGCGGCCGTCGCTGCACGGAGTCTCGGTACGTGGCGGATTGCGGGCCGCGCCACTTGGGCTCCGAGTGCATGCTCGATATGAGCATGCGTCATGATCCACGTCCGCATCGCGAGCCTTTCTGCGCCTTTGGCCCATCGGAGATGGCGATCTGCGGTCGGAGTTCCCTGGCCTCGTCCGCAGCGCGGTTCCATCGCGGGACTGGCCTCCTATGGGACGCTCGCTTCGCAGCCGTCGATGCGATGCTCTTGAACGGCGGAAAGTGAAAAAGACCGCGCCCTTTCCGGACCTTCTGGATAGTTGTACCCTCCCCATTTGTTGGAGACGAAAAGTACTCTTCCGAGGTTGGGAACCGGCAGTCGAAAGCCCTCGTCGTAAATGGTGATCCGGCAGACCCGGACGCGGACCACTTGCGTCCGGTCGGTGGGTCTGAGCGCACGCACTTCGGTTGCTTACACGAGAAGAGACGCGTGGGATGGACGGACGGACGGAAGGTGAACGCGGAGGCGGGCTGGCGGGCTGGCGTGAGGTCGGGGTTGTGGCGCAGTTCCTTCGAGGCCACGGTGCGGCAGGCAGCGCGAGGGGCTTCGTAGAGCGATTACGTGGTAGGCTCGTGGCGGAGAGAGGCCGGGGGACAAGCAGCGTTGGCAGAGCCGGGGACGAGGAACGAGGAGAAAGCAAGGGGAACGAGCGGGAGGGAGGGAAGCAGGAGCGACGCAGACCCTCGCTTTTCTGATCGTAGGGATGTGATCTCACCCGGTGCTTGGTCGATTTGACTTACTCGCCTTCCACCCGCGACGTCAGAGTCCAGGCCGCGTGCGTTTACGTCCATCCTCTCGCCAGTGCATAAGGGCTGGCCAGCGGAGGCCGGAGAATTGTATTCCTTGTATGATAGATTTGTGAGTGCCGCAGCAGCAACAGCAGCAGCTTTGGCGAGTGAGCGAGTGGGTTTGCTTTTGTATTCGAGATTCTTTCTCTCTTCCCTTCTGTGCATACAGAGACATTTGTAAATTTTTGTTTATACGGAACTGTTGCGTCGCACTGTGTGGTTTGATTGTTCGTGCGCCGCTTTACCATCAGCATCAAGTACATACATAGTACATACAATACAATTGACATCAATTCGTCGACATAAAAACAGTGTTCCTTTCGATCATCTACGCGTCGATCGGCCGCCCTTTGCTTGTGGGAGTCTTTTAGCGTTGGTAGCTAGCTTTTGGAGGGAGGACAGCGGAGATTGCTCGAGGACTTTAGGAGAGGAGGCGAGGCGAGGCGAGGCCGTGCGGTTCTGTCAATTCAGGAGGAGGACGGAGGCAGGCTTTAGGAGGAGGAGGAGGAGGAGGGATCCGTTGAAATCCAGTGCGCGAAGCGTTGTAGCGAGGAATTGCCTGCGACAACGATGATGGCGAGCTCGGTGGCAGTTCGGTCAATTACGGGGCCTCATGCGTCGACATCGTCGCTCTCGGATTACCACTCGTCCGTGTCGACGGCGCGCCTGGCGCACCCAATTCTGTCGAGGAAATCGCCCTCCTCGTGCGCGCTGGCCGCCAGAAAATCGCTGCAACCCTCGCACAGCTTCTGCGCGCACGAGGGCTTGAGAATCGCGTCGTCGTGCGTCGACGTGATGCGCCCCATCTCCTTGGCCGAGGGCTTCGACGCGGCCGTGAGTTCGAGCCTGAGCGCGCGCGAGAGCAGCGCGGCCGGCGAGGCCTGCTGCTCGCCGGGCACGCCGTTTGACGAGCCTCGCGGGCGGGCGCGCAGGGCCGTGGTGACGGCGGTGTTCGAGCGCTTCACCGAGCGCGCCATCAAGTCGGTGATGCTGGCGCAGCGCGAGGCCAAGGCGCTGGGGCGCGGCGAGGTGGGCACGGAGCAGCTGCTGCTCGGCCTGATCGCCGAGGACCGCGGCAGCGACGGCTTCCTGCGCACCGGCGTCACCATCGAGCGCGCGCGCGACGCCGTGCGCGGCCTGACCGTTGAGCGCAGCGGCAGCGCCAGCTCCTTCAGCCCCGACAAGCCGGCCACCGAGGTGCCCTTCTCGCACGGCAGCAAGCGCGTCTTCGAGGCCGCCCTCGAGCACTCGAAGCAGATGGGCCACAATTACATCGCCCCCGAGCACATCGCCATCGCCCTCCTCGCCGTCGACGACGGCGGCGCCTCCCTCGTCCTCGACAGGTACCCTCTCGTTCATTCAATTTCGGTTCCAGCCGTTGCAATTTCGTTAGCCCGGTTCGTTGAATTGACCCTCGTGCTCGTGCGCTGGCGATGGTGGCAGATTGGGGCTGAGCAAAGACAAGCTGCACTCGGAGGCGGCCACGAGGCTGCAGGGCGAGCTCTCGAAGGAAGGCCGCGCGGCCTCGTCGTCTCAGGCCGTGCCCCAGAAGGCTGCCGCGGGCGCCACCACCACCACCAACAAGCGCGCGGGTAGCAGGAAAGGTGAGAAATTGGTGCCTCGTTCGTATTGTTGTGGTCGGGTGGGATTGGGATTGGGATTTTGACGTGGGGCGTTGCGTAGCGTTGCGGCGGGCTGACGGGAATTTCGCGGTGCGCCTTGTTTTTCAGACAAGGGAGCGTTGAATGATTTCTGTGTGGATTTGACTGCCCGTGCCGGGGAGGGCAAAATCGATCCGGTGATCGGGCGCGATAAAGAAGTGCAACGAGTGGTTCAAATTCTCGCCAGGCGGACCAAGAACAACCCGATTCTGCTCGGGGAGCCCGGAGTTGGAAAGACTGCCATTGCCGAAGGCTTGGCTCTGCGCATTTGCAATGGCACCGTACCTGAATTCCTCATTGTGAGTTCTCGCTGACCATGTGTTTCAGTCTACAAGTTTCACCCGGAGCCGCGACTAGGGGTCTGATTCTCTCAAATGGAGGTCGCTAACTTGTTGAGGTGAATGATTCTGCAGGGCAAGCGAGTCATGTCTTTGGATATGGGTTTGCTGCTGGCTGGTGCCAAGGAGCGTGGTGAATTGGAAACTAGGGTGACAAATCTTGTCGAGGAGACCCGAACTGCTGGTCAGTAGACTTCCGACTTGAGGTCTTTCTTTACGGCTATCTGTCGGAAATTTCTGTGGGCTTCTCATAAAATCTCATAACCTGATAATTTCCATGGAGCCACAGGAAGAGTTTGGCGGACTGCCAATGTTTCTCTACTTATGAATGTGCAGCAAGGAATTTCATGTGGGAATGAGTTTAACTGGAATTGCATATCACGCAGGTAATGTGATTCTACTCATCGACGAGGTGCATACTCTGGTGGGTTCTGGCTCAGTCGGAAGAGGAGGAAGTAGTGGTGCAGGTTTAGATATTGCCAATCTTCTGAAACCGGCATTGGCCAGAGGTCAACTACAGGTCAGCTGCTTTACCAACCCACATTCATTTGTCTTTGCTGAGAAGGAAACTGGTTGTCACATGTTTTAGCTTCTGTTTTGCTGGTTCTGCACTCTGCCGTGGGATTCTATTGACAGGAAGCTGATGAATTGTGTTATTCATGTGGCAGTGTATTGGTGCAACAACTTTGGACGAGCATAGGAAGCACATTGAGAAAGACAAAGCTCTGGCCCGAAGGTTCCAACCTGTGATGGTGAACGAGCCGACTCAGGTATGTAGGACCGTTTCGTTTCAAGGGCTAGGAGACTTTATGTCTATGGTTTGAAGCACACTCTGTACTTCGTCGCACATCACCAACTCAGTCGGAAGGGTCAAAAAGTAGTCGAACTTTTTAAGTAAATCAACAGAATCTCGCGGGTCTGCCGGTTTGTTAGGACGAGGTCTTTGTAGCAGCAATCCGCAGTGGATGTCGGACGAGTATCATACTCTGCAGAATCTTTTGATATAGAAAAGTCGGGGCTGCCCGGGATCTACACGAATAATATAGTCCCCGAATCAGTAGCGACGTTTCGTGTTTTCGGACTAATGACTACCGTGTTCTCAGTCAGCAGTTTCCTAGACGTTGTGGGAGTTACTGATTGTGGTTGGACGTTCTGTTGCAGGTCGATGCTATCGAGATATTGATGGGATTGCGTAGTAGGTATGAGGAACATCACAAATGTAGAATTACAACAGAGGCAGTGGAAGCAGCTGTATATTTGTCGTCACGGTACATTGCCGATAGGTTTCTTCCCGATAAAGCAATCGACCTTCTTGATGAAGCCGGAAGTCGAGCTCGTATCAATGCTCACAGGCGAAGGAAAGAACGACAAGTGAGCATCCTCAGTCAGTCTCCCAGCGAGTACTGGCAGGAAATCAGGAGTGTTCAGGCAACCCAAGAAGCGGTAAGTGAGAGTCAACGCCCTGAGATTTGATGACAGTTGGTACAAGGTCTTTCGTTCTGTTTTGCCGTTGGTCCAAAGATTAACAATGGTGAACATAAGGCTTTCAGTTCTAACTACTGTGTCCAAATGATCGAGCTTCTTAGGGTTCCGCTCTCTTCGGAAACGAAAACTTAAGCTTGGGTTTTGTTGTGGAACAGGCGTTGGTTTCCACCACGGGCGTTACCGATTATACAGCTCAAAATGCATCCGGTGCAGTCGGATCATCAGTTTCAACTGTGTCAGTGCCAGAAAATGAAAGCCTGGGTTCAAAACTTCTTGCGGAGGACGAAATGGTTGACGGGTAAGTCAAGTTTTTTAGCGTACATAAAGAAGTTGTCATTTGCTGTCAAGTGGAAATTTGGAGAGAAAAAAAATGAAGGGGTGTGAAAGTGATCTAAATGTGGCTGGTGAGGGATGGTTATCACTATTGTCAAGTAGTTTCAGTATGATTATAAACTGCTCATTCACCATCAAGTTGTTGTGGAGCTTTGTTTACGAGAATTGTACCCAAACGTTTGGGCAACTGTTTACCAATATCTGTGAATGTTGACATTGAGTCAATAGTTGTCGGAGGTTGTGTTGTTTGGGAAATGTTTGTGGAGTTTGTTAACTTATTACTTTTGTCAATTTTTTGCAGGCCGGTTGTGGTGGGACCTGCAGAGATCGCCCATGTTGCATCGATGTGGTCGGGAGTTCCTGTGGAGCAGTTGACTGAAGATGAGCAGTTGAAATTGCTTGACCTGGAGAAGTTGCTCCGTACTCGTGTGGTAGGTCAAGAGGATGCTGTTAGTGCCATTTCCAGGGCAGTCAGGCGCGCACGCGTCGGCTTGAAGGACCCAGATCGTCCTATTGCGGCCATGCTTTTCTGTGGCCCAACAGGAGTGGGAAAGACAGAACTTACCAAAGCTTTAGCACAACACTACTTTGGAGCAGTAAGTTTTCAAAGCTGACGTTTTACTTTTTGCGTATAGCATATGAAGAGTGCTTTTTCTTGTGACGTAGTAGTATAAAACTTTTACTTTGGGAACAACTTCTGTTGGCCGTGCAACACATTGGCATTCATACATCGGATAATACTAAGGTTGCTAAATTCAATTGACTATCTTGAAAATCTGCAGGAGGAAGCTATGATAAGGTTGGATATGAGCGAGTACATGGAGAGACACACAGTCAGTAAGCTCATCGGGTCTCCTCCTGGCTACGTTGGCTACGATGATGGTGGTGCCCTGACAGAGGCGGTGAGAAGGCGACCATTCACTGTGATTCTTATGGATGAAATTGAGAAGGCTCATCCTGATGTCTTCAATATCTTGCTCCAGATTTTTGAAGATGGACATCTAACTGATTCACAGGTAACCTATAACTGTCCAGTCGGGGAGTCCAGCATGATCATTTCCTACTTTATGCAGTTTTCAGTTTGCACTTCTTGTTGTTTGCTCTATTTCGATGGTGTGATTATGCTCTAAACTCTCTGTTGTTGCACCATTGAGACTGACTGTGAATTCTGAATGCCTCAGGGACGGAAGGTGTCATTCAAAAATACCTTGATCATCATGACTTCCAATGTTGGATCACAAGCAATTGCCAAGGGAGGAGGTAACCAAATTGGATTCACCTTCTCAGATGAGGCTGATGGTGGTAGATATAGTGCTTTGAAGGCAATGGTCATGGACGAACTCAAAGGTTACTTCAGGCCCGAGCTATTGAACAGGCTGGACGAAGTTGTGGTCTTCAGATCTTTGGAGAAATCTCAGGTAATTTATCAACGAAAATTACGCATCCGCGTTGTGTTTACCTTCAGGTTGTAATATGACAGGAGAAGCTTTTTCTGTGAAATATAATCACGCTTAGGACTGTTTCCATTTATAGTACGAAGATATATCTTTGTTCCGTGATTTACTTACCACTTTTGTGTCAATAACTCAGGTTCGCGAGATCGTCGATATGATGTTGGAAGAGACGAAAACTCGATTACTTGCGCGAGGAGTTGGGTTGGAAATAACTGAAGCAATGGTGCAGCTTATCTGTGACCAAGGTTATGACCGTGCCTACGGCGCTAGACCTCTGAGAAGAGCACTTATTCGGCTTGTGGAAGATAATCTGAGTGAAGCATTACTGGGAGAAGACTATGAAGCGGGAGACACTGCTTTGGTGGATGTTGATGAAACTGGTAATCCCACTGTTGTTCGCCATGTGAAGCCCGACCGATGTGATCACGGGCTCTGTCTGGATGTTTTGAAGCCTGTTCTGCCGTTGCTCTCTTGACCGAAGCGGAGAGGCAGCACTGAATTATTGTAGAAATTTGAGTCTCGAAGGATCCTGTCTCTCCTCGTAGACTTGCAGGGTTTGATCAAGAAGAGGAGTTTGCACTGGAATGTGCACTGTTTTTTGAGGTTCGTCTTAATGTAGAAGCATTGGTGTGTTTGTTCTTCTCCCGATGTATTATGTGAAGTAGTACTTCTGACCACTAAGCAGCGGAGCAGAGATCTCTGCCTGCTCCAGTAGGCAAGTTTAGCGGGCAGGAGTAGTTGGTCCAAGGGAGCAATTCATATGGGTTTTTAGGGAGCGTAGATTGATAGTGAGAGCATGTCACTCCAGGGCCTGCAGGTTGTCTGCTCTCTAGTTGCTTGGCAGAATATTAAACTGCACTTTCTGAGGAACACTGTGTTCTGGGAAAGCAAGCTGGAACTACTCAAACATCATGAATTTAAATTCTCTCAATTTTAGATGTAGAAAGCCGAGATCGGTGTAGAACATAATTTTTCAATTGCGCTTCCGAATTCTCTCAGTTGGACAAGCTGCGAACTTCGAAAGGAATGTGTAGAAAAGACATGTATATAATTGTAATAGTGCACGTTGCAGACGGCAATCGCATTGTAAGCCTGCTGCTATTTTGTTAATACAACAATTTTTGATCAAAAACTATTCTCAGCCCCTGCCTACATGCCAAGTTGTGGGCACTCTTCCGGTTGTATTTTTCTTATTGTAAATTTTGACAGCAACCATCTGATCATTGCGTTTAATGACTTATACTCTTTTCTGTTGAAGCAAACTATCATGATTATTACCAAGTAGATGTCTGCGAATAGTGACGACATGTCCCATGGAAATGTCTTAGTTAAAACGGTAGTTGTAAGCTTAGAATTATGCTGCAAGAAAACACGTTCACAGATTTCATTGTATGCTGATGGGATTTAGTGACTCGATAAATTGTCCGAAGTAACAAACCTTATTAGCTTGCCACAGAGCAAGCTTTGTCCTATCTATTATTGTCCCCGTGGACGTGCATATCCAACAGGATTGTGATACTTTCGAATAACTTGGTATATATGTCAAACCAATTTGTTCTCCCCTGTCTGCTGTTCCAGCTCAGGAAAGTTGGGAATGCCCTATTTCAGGATTTGAAAGGTTTCAGCGAGAAACGGGTCGAATTGAAACGAAATGAAAACAGTACTCATTTTTCCAGTCTTTAAACTCATTCTACTTTTGGGTCTTAAACTTCGGAGTTTTGTCTCTTGAATGTGAGGGAAGAGGATGCGACTACACTGCGTATGATGCCAAAACTTCTTCAGCGATGAATTTTACCTGCTCACTTGAGTGCCGGAGTGTTGGAGATGCCCTTTTTGGGAGACGGTGAGGATTCTCATGTTCAAGACTTGTCTGCCGCCCTCAAATCTCCGCCATAGCACTCTAGGCCGTACATGTATCACGCAACGTCCTTAGTCGCATGACATGAGAAGCGGGACACATCTGCAACTACCCGACTCGAAAATTGTCTGGTAGGTTCAGATCTGTAATATCGACGTCCACACGAAGAAGACGTTACGCAAGTTACGTCTGCTCCCTGACTCCATGGAACTGTCTGATCACGGGTTTTGGCAGTGGACAGTTCGATCATTGGATGTATGATGCAAAAGGCAGCACTTGGCTCGAAATTCATTATGCATCCGTTGCATGGACTCGTGGACTACTGGCCCGTGGCTAGCGCCAAACGTAGGCTTCGGGCCTTCACTTCTCTTCTCCACTTCCCACTACCTCCACACTCGAGCATAAGTTGAGCACGGTAGCAAGTGCCAAGCTAGTAAGAAAGCGACTTTTGAGACTTTTCGCTCAGTCTGAATTGTGTGATCAGATGCAGACAGGAATGTGAGTCGTTCGTACGAGCTGTGCTAGTGCTGACTCGTGCTGACAGATGTCAGTCAGGTGCTCTACAGCTTCAGCTAAAATGGACGACCTCCATCTAGTCCTGCAAAAGGAACATGATGGCCAGGAGGTAACCTCGTACGAGCTCGAGTGATTTGGCCTCTTCAAAACTCTCATCATTGCTAGAGAATCCCATTCGGCTTGGCGACATGATCCGACTCGCGAGCACGCGAGTGATGAATGGTTTGTTCCGTGACAGCTTGATCGATGTGCTCCGTCACGCTTCTCGAGCTCGCTCATTAGCATCCGCCCTTCAAACGCGTTTCCCTGTTCGTTTCAATTTCGTCAGTGCCGACGGACCTACAACGCGGTTTGGACTGGAATCGGAAGATCCTCCAAGTTCCTGTGCGAGGGACATTCGGAATGTTCCAACATGCATTCATACAATTCGGATTGTATGAGAATCGGGAATGTCACATTCCCGATTCTCATACAATCACAGAGCGCACTGTCGGAATCGCTGAAATCAAGGTCCGCAGTAGACGGGAGAAATTCTGCCATGACGAGACCAGGTGTCCACGGCCTTATATCCTCGTTACTCAGGCACCGAAATTATGACGATACCGAAGGAATATGCGAGCGAAATGGAGTCTTTATGGCAGAAGATAGACCAAAAATATAAAACATTGTCTACGACAACAACCGGTTCGAATTTTTTCATCCTTTTGTAACCTGGAGGACTTCATGAAGGAATTGCTTCGTACAGCCTCTGGGAAAAAAAAGGGACTGACAGACCTGAACCCTCTGCAGGCCGTACTTTCCCTTCTTTGCGGGGGAACGATTTCTCTGCACAGACCTCGTACCATTCGTGACAGTGAACGTCCACGAGTGTCTGCTGTCGTCTGTGAAATACACTGCTGGCAATGGCATCGATATTCTATGAGTCCCGAGCGGTGCCTGAAAGAAGGGGGAGTGATCTGATCGCTATTAACATGAACTGATACATGAACTGATGGTTCTTCGAAGTGTACATGGAACCTTGACTTGAGTCCGAGGGTGGAATTCCTCGGACCAGGAAACCTAGCAAAACCCTAAGATTCCAGACTCCGACTTCGAGCGACGACATCGGAGAGGGCAAAATTTACAATTTGGAGCTATGATGCGAGTGGCCCTCGTCATCCTACATTTTGTCTGCAATTCTACCGAGAGCGCAGGCCAAGCTGCCCAGCACTCCGATCAGACTATCTCCGTGCTCCTTTCTCTGCGATCGGTCCAGCTCGCTGTTGCGGTTGTCGGCTTCAATTTGCGACCGGATTTTGTCTGAGAGTGCTCTTTGAATGGCTCGGCCACTGCTTTCCAACACCGATGCCAGTTCCTCCTTCAAGTTGTCGCGCTCACCTCCTGCATTTGCCACCACCACCTTGCGTTTGTTTCTGCCCGCGTGCTCGTGCGCGTTCCCATTTTTCCCACTGCTGGTGGTGAGCTCCTCTCCGCCGCACGAGCCTGCGATCAGAACGATGAACTTCGATCTCAGCCCACGATGACGGACTTAGCATCTCGCAACTTTCCAAATTCCTCCTACTCCCTCCACATTCGAGACTCTGCACAAGGAAAGCGAAGATTGTGCACCCATGGAAATGTTCAGATGAGCAGAAATTTCAGCGAGGGCGAGGTGGGCACCTGATTGGAGGGGCTCCGTGATGTTCTGGTCGGATGGAGAGTCGTCCGAAACTGCAGTTTCATCTCTCGGCGGTCTCGAGAAGTCCTGGGCCGCGCCGCTCGTCGTCGAGAACGAAGGCTTCCTGCCGAGGAAGCTCTCGATCTCGGCGAACACTTCGCGGTAGAAGGTCAGAGGCAGCTGGTGCTCCTTGCGTTGGTCTTTGCTCATGGTCCAGAAAGACTCGACGTCGTTGAGCTTCTGCCAGTTGCGGATTCGGCGGTAGTCGGAGTGGAACATGTTGTTCCACTGGCGGCGGCACTCGCGCGCGTTGCGGTGCACGCCATTGGCCTGGCAGTAGGACGAGACGAGATCCCAGCGCTCGTCGGGGCTGCCGAACTTGCGACTCCTCATGCCCGCGTCTCGGATTCCCTCGTTCTGTTTCCTCTTGGCCGTCACCAGAATCAGCGTCTCGTGTTTGTCCCAGCGCGGATGTCGATTCGTCCTCTCCTCCTGCGCCGCCTGCATGTTCACGTCCATCGATGCTCCCCTCTCGAAAACAATGTCACGCTCTCGAATGCTTGCAACTCGCGATTCCTACAGTCTTGGCTCAGACCGTCAAGAAATGCACCTCGGCACGGTCTCTTCTCTTGCCATCGATCCGAACACGATCGAACCCACGCACAACTAGTTCTACACTGTCGTTCGGACCTTCGTGGAATCGCGGTCCTGCTTCAAAGGACGAGGACGAGGACGAGGAGGCTCGACGACTGCAGCGAGCGAGGCGATGGTTGCCGGCAATCATGTTCTCACCGGACTCGCAGTGAGAGCTCGAGATCAGCTCTCGACGAGGCGCTAATTTGCGCCACGCTTTGCGTCGTAATTTGGAGGAACCATCCACCGCAAATCGATGCGCGATCGATGTCGTGCGAGCCTGCGCTGAAAGAGTCGAGGCGGTCGAAAAATCGAAGCGAAACGAGCGCAAATGTGGACCCGCAAGCGAAGAGAAGACTTTTGCCGCTCACTGACAATGCGCCTAATAACTGGGCCCGACTCTTGGCGTGCCGCGAGCACTTATTGAAGCCAGATGTCCAATTTACGCCCGAGCGGCATTCGAGCAGCAGCAGATCGTACGACCATGCTCGGGTCTTCTGTGCTCTCGCCTAGGCCCTGGCATTGGCCTCGGCCTCAGCTGCATCGTGCGACCTTGCCCATCCTCACAAGCAGCAGCAGCAGCAGCAGATTGAGACCTCTGACGACGCCCATCCCACACGTTCATCGATGCCTCCGGGATCTATGATTCTCGCAGAGGCCTCAGCAGCGCCCGAGTTTCCATCCGCCTTCCTTCCTTGCTTCCTGTCCTGCGCAGTGGACCCAGTGGGCGGCAGTCATTGCCATCGCAGGCTCAGGCTCAGGCTCAGGCTCAGCAGTCAGGCCTGGCCCGTATACAAGGACGACGCCATCACTCTCTGCAGCAGCCGCACCTCTCCGAGAACAAGAGTCGGATCCATATTCCCGCAAAGCTGGAACCTTCTTCCATCTCCAGCCGCTCTGCTCTGCTCTGCTCGCGCCTGTGGTCTCTGCAAGCTAGCGAGGCCATTCGGGCCCTTCTGCTCTGCTCTCTGCTGCGCAACACTTCGCGCGGGAAAGTCTTCGTCTGCTCGAGCGTGACACGATCTTGGTTCTCGGATCGAGTGCATCTCTCGTACCCTGCCCATGTTGCAGCCCCACGCAGTTGCGGTAAGTGCGCGCCATTCGTTCGAGGTTTTTCGGTCACCGGTAGTGCGCATTAGGCTCAATTGGGTGCGAGGAATAAATGTTGCTCCAGTAGTCCTAGCGATGGCGCTGGCGATGGACTGCTCTGTGAGTAAATGCTCCAGGGCTCGCACGAAATCCGATCCCGGACCGACCTCCATCTTCATGCATGCATGCATGCCTGCCTGCCTGCCTGCATGGGGTTCGGAGGTCTGAAGAGTCGGAGATCAATTAATTCAGCTCATCGTCGTACAATTGGTTTCCATCTCGATGCTCGTGATACATTTGCTTCCGGAAAAGGGAGAAATCTTGTTTAGATACTGTTGCGCTGGAGCATAAGATAATCGAATTGCGGAGTCTACGTATCGGAACTGCTTGAGTATGAGTTCGTGTCCCACGAAGCCAAGAGAACCATCTTCCATCCATCCTTCCTGCGACAACTAGCGATGCTCGCAAAATGCTGGAACATTATTGCGGCCCAATCTAAATCACTTTTCCACCGCAAGGTTTCTTCATTGCGGCTCTGTTGACCACTCTGCAATTATTTCGGAGAATGTGTTGACTTCTCGGCGATCTCTTCTTCCAGAGGATGAATGAATTGGCATGCACAATTTGACGTGCTGTACTGGTAGCACAAGTGTTTTGGTTCTGAACTAAGGCGAAGTGGATGAAGCTCCATCTTTTCCACGAGATTATTGGTCCGAACAGATTATTCGGCAGGCGGTGTCAACGCCGCATTACCGCTCATTTGCAAGAATCGTCGATGACTCAGAAGGATTACGCAACACTTTCAACACTTTCAACACATTTTCATGACCGTAGCAGCCCGATTGCCTCAAATGTGGGAATCTTGAACCTCCACTGTCGTACCAAGTACATTACCATCTTATTTCATGTCGTTTCATTGGTCCCCAAATAAGCGCGAGTTGGTGACAATGTCGCAGGCGCAGGCCACGTTAAGACTTTCTAGGCTTGCAGAATGAATTGGCGAGGAGGTCGAAGAAAAGGTTCGAGCACCTTTCGAGCACCACACTACTAGCGACATCGCGAGGGGTATTTGATGTTGTGATGGACGACTAGAGTTGAACCCTGGATCATCACTTGTAAAATGCTCGCGAATGTGCGTGCGACTGGAGTCAGATGTGCCGCGAGCTGAAGGGGCATGAGAAAAATGGCCATCGAAGGCGGAAAATGAGGAAGGAAATCGATACCTCTAGAACGAAAGCTCCAGAGGACCGACCTGACGGCGGTGTCAGTTGCTACAGCCCGAGCAATGCGTGGGTCGGAACAAGAAAGAAAACAAGAATCCAGCACCAGCGACACGAGCTAGCAGAACCACGTGCCTCCTTCACACGCAACCGACCACAACCTCCTGCAATCAGTCGCCCGTCTCCTCCATCTTGTTCATCTCGACGCGCCGACACCTTTCCTCTTCCTCGACTCGCATTCTAAATTCTCCAACCCACGCCTCGCCTCGCCCCGCCACCGAATTGCGACGAAACTCTGGATTTCCGCGCAGAGAACGAGGACCGGCGACATGCAAGTGCAGGACTCGAGCCACAGACGAGAGTAGGAACGAGGACGAGGACGAGGACGAGAGCGAACGTAGGGCCGGGGGGCTGCCTTGGCATGGCCGCGGACGGCCACGCTGGACGCAGCGGCGGTCATGGTTGGGGCTGAGGATCGCATTCTGTGAAGTCGTACAGAGCGCGCAGCGGCAGCGGCAGCGGCCCCACAAGCAGCAAGCCACAAACGGAGGGCTTAGCGAGCCCCGCCCAAGATCCTCACAGCACCCGGATCTCTCTCTCTCTCTCTCTCTCTCTCTCTCTCTCTCTCTCTCTCTCTCTCTCTCTGCCCTGGCCCTGGCCCTGTCCCTCGTCCCTCGCCCTTCGTCTCCTGCGGAGCCCTCGCTGGACGAGCTCCAGCAGCTTGCCGCCGCGAGCGAGGAAGGAAGGCGAGGCGAATTTGTGGATCGATTTCGGGACCTGTTTTCTTTCTTCTTTCAGATCGTTACCGATTGGTTCGTGACGACGACGAGGCGGTCGTGCTGTTCCCGGGATTGTTGCGAGTTTGCGTTTCAGGAAGGGAGGGGAGAGGTATCTGCGATTGGGCATGTGTTTTAGGCTCGATCGATAGATTGTGTGTCGATGGGCTTGACGTGGTTATGACCTACGACGTCACGTCGGTTTGCAGATTGCCGAGTGAAGATGAATTCTGTCATATTTTCCGCGTGTGGTGTTCCGGAGTGTTTTGGTGTTGTGAGAAGCTTTGGCGATGGTAGCAGGGTTCCACTAGTTGCTCCGGCCGAGAAGCAGGATCATCGGGGACCCCGTTATGAGGCTGATTGGAGTGCAAGGTCCGCGGGTCGTGGATTATCTCGAGCTCCAGAGAACAGAATACTTGTCGCCGGTAGAAGACCCCGGGGCATTACAGCTCGACGTGCGCTTCAGGAATGTTGTGGGGGTCGCTCCTCTTTAGATTCTGCCGCGGTTGGAGGATGCATAGCGAAGATTAAGTCGAGCAAGGGGGCGAGATCGATGCGGAGATACGGGGAATTAGGAATACAAGTCTCAGGGTTGGTGATGGAATGGCCGGCCACTTCCGCAATTGCTGAGTCGGAGGCTTGCTCCAAGAATGGCGCTTGCAATGCTTTCCCATCGCCACGGGCTTCTTGGCAGCAGCTCTGTCCTACTGCTTGGGTTACGAGGACCATCGTCGGAAAACGACCCCATGTCTGTTCGAAGTTGAGCAAACGATCGTTTGCAGGCAATGGAGGGTCGAATTTTCCGGCACTGGAAACTGACAGGGATTGCGGGAATAGTTTCGGAGGACCTTTGAGTAGTCAGGGCCTATTTAGAAAGAATTTTAGAGCTTTCCCAATTCGTTCTGTTATTTTGAGCAGATCTCCGGACACCAAGCCTGATGAGCAACACGAATCAGAGCAAGACGCAGCATCCGAAAGTTTAGTTGAAACTACTTCTGAAAAAGCGACAGATTCCGTGGCTCCGAGTGTGGTGTTCGAAGGCGGGGGAAAGTGTGGTTTCGTTTCTTTCTACAGGCAAATTAGGGCGCAACCAGAATCGGAAACATCCTCTTCTACACGCAGTCCTCTGCGCACTCTTCTCTGGCTGCTTGGACCTATAATGCTGACGGGTTCAGTTTTCCTTCCACCTCTCTTCCTCCGGAGAATTTTTGGCAGTGTGCTCTCGGATTCTCTGATTACAGGTACGTGTGGACACCAATCTTTTATTTTCGCTGAACAAGGACACACTAAATTCTTCCCATCTGGTTCGTGCCAGCTCTTGAGCTGTTCCTTGTACAGTGCAGCTTGAATAGACAACACACGTTTTCCACAAGGGAACTGAATTGTACCTCTTTGTGCAGATTTCGTTATCCTTATTTTCACGGAGACTTTGTTTTTCGTCGGTGCTTCTGTTTACTTATACATCGCCCACCAATTTCGCAAGTCCGTCTCTACAACCGAGCAAAAACCAGCGATGCAACTTCCTCTCGGCTACAGAGTATCTGCGATTGTTTCTCTCGGGATCGGATTGTTCTTACCAGTTGCCACTTATTCAATGGTTTGGCCGTGGACTGGCCCAGCAGCATTAGCAGCCCTTGCTCCCATCACAGTCGGGCTACTTGTTCAATTGAGTCTGGAGAAAGTAGCGAAAGTGAAAAAATCTCCGGTCTGGCCGCTCATCCCCATCACTTTCCAGGTGTGTTAACTGTCCAACGCCCATGCAGTGAGTTCCTAATTATCTCTGTCAGTCTGTGCTCTATGTATTTCCCGCCTCCTTCGCCTCCCGGAAAAGTTAGTCCCACGGTGTTATTGTTGAGAGGTTTGGGAACTTGTATAGGCCTAGGCAGTTTCCGGACCTAGGTATGTACACATTTTGCTCTCAAACAGCAAATACCTTCTCACTTTCATCCAAACAGATAGAACTGTGCGCAATGGCTAATTGAGCTCTTGATCCATTCCCGCCCGTCGACTCGAAGTGCTATTTTCTTGGATGTAGCTGTGGATTCGACTTACCATATGAATGCCTGTCATCTTCCAGATATACCGCCTTCACCAACTGAATAGAGCTGCTCAGCTTATTTCGGGTCTCATGTTCTCGCTGAAGGGCGTGGAAGCCACAGCTGAAACCATGGCTATAAGTGGATCTTTGCAGACTTTGCTGTTCGTGCTAAAATTTCTCGGCGTCGTGTGCTTCTGGTCTCTCGGAGCTTTTCTTACGCATCAGTTACCTGTTCAACCTCCCGTGTCTAGCTCCACTGCTTCTCTTCCTTGAGCGGACGAAGATACGCAGTTTTCTACAGTTGAGCGATCAGGCTGCGTACGACTAATTTTCCGTAGCTTGAACTTCCACTTCCAGGCAGGATAGACAATATGTAGATTATGTAGATAAGTTTAGGTGGGAAGCTACTAGCTTCGAGTGGAATCCATCTGTCATATATGAAGCTCAGCCGCTGCAAGAGGAGGACAAGGGCCAAAGTGATCGGCTACGTTGTGTCGAGGAGCTCTAATCCAAATCGGTCGAACCTGCTCCGGATGATAGAAGTAGGTATCTCCATCGACTACTCAAATTCACTGTCATAGCATTCCATTGTACAGGACAATTTACTCTGTAACCAATCTCTTGAATAATAAACCTCTGCCTTATGGCTTACAAGACATCGTGCTTTGTAGAGCTTTGTCACTTTTACAGTGACATGGAGTTCGGCATGGATGTTTCATCTTCTTCTCATAAATATGACGCAATTTGAAGCCATTACATAGATCAGCATATCTTGATTGCATCTGCTATGCCCGAAACACGCCGACTTCCAGATGACTAGGTCAGTGAAGTGAATTATCAGGACGCTTACTAGTTGATGTCAGTTCCTGTGTTTAGCAGTTATTCCGCGTCCAAAGTGCTAGGCACAGATGTTCGTTTTTTTTTGGTTCTTCACCAATGTGAACGTGCGTAAGCAGACTCATTCTCCGCAGTTTCAAGAATTAAACTTCAACTTACCATAGACCCATCGGGGTTCATACGATTTGGGCAAACATTTCCAATTGAGGCTGTTGCAAGCAGGTTCAGGGTTTAGTGGCAGTAGACAATCCTCTTCGCCGGAACATGAGTGTGGGCACAAAGATGTCGTTTCATGTATCTCGTCCATCTGACTTAGAAGCCAGTAAGTTATATCGTGAGCCTCGGGTGTTAGGGCCTTGTCTTGAAAAATGAATAAACGATGGACCACTTATGATGTAATAGGTTTCAACCATGTTGATATCGAGGTTAACCTACTATCACACAATCATTGTAGCAGTCAATTTCGCAACTTTGTTACCCCAGTTCCTTCCACTTGAACAGATTGTTCTGTTGATTGAAAGGACATCCTTATCCAATGTAGAATGTTAGACCATATCAAAGGAGGGTGAACACTGTATTCTCTGCGTGATAGTTAACGATAGTTCCGGAAATTGCTGATTAGTAGCAGGTGTCATGTGATGAAACACTACGATATAACTAACCAACAATTCCGGATATTGCTGTTTAGAAGCAGGTGTCCTGTAGTACAATATTCTGAAAACCCAGCTTCGCGTATAGTAATGCACTTCCCTGAAGCCACTAGAACTGCACATGAATCATTTGCAAATAAAGTCAACCAGATTATGACAAATTTCCTTCCATGTAGGATACGCTCTCTTTACCAGGGATCAATTTCAAGTGTCCTACACCGCGCTGATTAATAAGTGGTTGAAGGATGGGGGATTCGATTACTACAAATCCCTCGGCCTTCGACAATAGACCACGATTTGGATGCATCCTACGACAACTGATGCAGATTGCGCGGCTCGCAATATGGAGACGAGTGGACATGGTGACGAAGTTACCACGGGAATAAAGCACGATTATAGGTACCCGTCCGCATGACGGGTACCTATAATTTTCTGTGATGATGAAGTGATTCATCCGTCTGAAGAAAAGGTCAACTACGCAGCTGTAAAAGAGGAAATTTATTTCCATCAGCTTCTTTGCACTACCGAATGTTTTCGAACGTATCTTACCTAAGCAAGTTGGGTTGGGACTAGGCATCACAGTTCTGAAAATAAGTTCGTAGTCGGCTAAGCTGAGTGGAGCATCCATGAGAAACTTGAGATTGACGAGTCCAAGATTATCTGACAAACATGGACTTGACATCCACGGGCTTCCGAGGACTTGGCAATGAGAGCATGAAGGGAAAATTTATCCCCGTACTTTGAAAAGTTTGAAAAGAATGAACATTTATGCTTTCCTTCCAACGAAAAGTCTCCAAATCGTCCAAGCACTGGTTATACACGATAACATTTACAAAAGTGGTTTCTCCTACTGTTCTGATTGTAGGAATGACACAAGCTCATCGTACACAGCATCGGGATATTCCTCTTGAGGTAGAAGAGCTCCGGGTACTTTGACGAACTTAGTGACACCCTTCACTCCTTCCAAAGCTTCCATTTCAGCTCTAGACCTTTTGGGGCTCTTCACTGACGACACCACCAGTGTTGGCAATTTTCCTTCCATATTGGCAAACAAACCTATGAATTCTTCCCTGCTTTTGGTAGGATCTAGCAAACCAGTGAGGAAGGCAGTCGGAGCAAAACGGGCACCTTCCATTTGCGTTAGTGCTGTCCTGCTCTCCACCATTGAGGGAGTGACATTGTCTGCATCTGCATACACGTGCGTAAGATACTGAAGTCTAATGTTTTTCGGGCTGCTCACTAAGTATTTGTACATGGCCCAGCCAACTCCAGGTGACCTTAATGTGTTTCGGAGCAATGAATACCTGCAAAAGCAGAGAAAGTTTAGAAGGGAGAAAGCATGGGCAAGGGAATAAGTGACTGCTCAGACTTTTGCTCGTAGATGTGAGTTCGCTCACAAAGCTCTGTTCCTGAGCACTTGTCCAAAAGCATTGAAGATAACAAGCTCCCGTAAGAGATTGCTCAGAGATTCCTGCATCCACTGAGCGACGATGGGAGGACTTGTTTTTTCTTTCCGTCAAAGTACCGATATAGAAAGAGAAAAACTAAATTACCTAGTCTCCATGTTTGGCTCCCGGCCAAATACAATCGGTAAGGGACCTGCCCAAGTTGGTGCCACCAAAGCCAATGCGCTCGCTTCTAACAAGCCCCTACTGATAGCGCGTGCTGCTATGGTAGCTGAATGACCTCCGCCAACTATCACAGGAGGCCCACCTGAATGGAAGAAACAAACATATAGAGTGAGTGTCCTTCGGGAAACTATAGATAACAATAAGCAACATGGTACCACATGCTTCATTCAGATCATCTAGCTCACGGTGGAACAAGAACGAATCTCACTCAAGAATCCAAGCTGCTGTGGAAGACAGACAAGCTTACCATCTTAAGAGCATTTCCTAGGATCTCCAACAAAACTTTCTTCAAGCTCTGTTGTGATCCTTGGTTACAAACACTTAAGCAAGGCTATCGTCGGAGAGGTTTGCTGCAAGTCTTGTCTACAAAGGAAACGCAAAGAAAATCATTTCCTTTAGATTGAGTGGAACAATTCAAACCTGACGAAGGGCAAATAGGTCCATCCTTCTCAGAGATGATATCGACCAGAAACTTCTCATATAGGTCGGCAGTGTAGTCTATTCCAGGCCTGTCAGACAATCCCAGTCCAGGGAAGTCTACACAAACAATTCGATAAGAGGTACTTGACTTCGATTGTAACCTTTCTGCTACAGCATGCCACTCCTCCGTGGTACTGACATCGGATATAGTTGGGAGCATAACCAGAGTTTTTGTCGGACTGCTCCCATTAGGCAGGTATTCTACCAGATTAATTTTAATAGGAGTACCCTCAAACGTCCAAGTCCACTGCTTCGTCTGTACCTGGATTTCATTCAGCCTGGGATTAGTCCTACCGTTGCTTTCACTTGTTCCATTCACGCATACCCTGATGTCAATCTAAACTTCATGCTCACAGCCCAAACTAAAGTAAACTGTAAACTGCAAACTGCGACAAGAATTGGAACAAGGTTTCAGTTCAATAACACCACCCAAGTACAGAGGCGTCAAGAATCATGCTCGTTGCCACAAGAGGAGCAAGGTTACTTCGTTATTATGCACCCCGACATCCAACCAGCAGCACGTCATACCGTAAGAATACGAAGTTTAATTTTGCAAATAAGGTGTGCTGTTCAAAGGTTGCTACAATTGACCTCGTCATCTCGACAACCTTCTAGTATGCGGGGCAAACTCTTGCGATTCATACTATAGTTAGGTAACTTAAGTCAGTTCCAAGTTATGCGATCTATACAATCACACACACGTCCACAACTCGCAAGGATGTAGCAGAAGAGTTACTTAAATAGTTGTTTGCTGAACAAAAGATCGGACGCATTCCGTTATTCTTACGTCGCCGCAAGAATTCTCACAAACATCAAGGTGCATAAATCAAGCTATCCTCAATTACGACAGGATCACCGGATTCTAAAGTCTTCGACATTGGCCTCGCAATTTGACAGGAAACTCGGACATCTGCACTCAAACTTCAGCAGCAACTGTATGGTCAGGATTGTGACCATATCCTGCGTACTTGAAGCAGAATTGCTACTCTTGAAATTCATTGTCTCGCACCTTTGAAGCATCTTTGGTCTGAGATGCAGCGGCAGCATCAACTCGCAATCTACTCCTCTGCACTTCAGACTTGACAGAGGGGATTCTTGGCCGCAAAGATGACAGAGCCCCGGATTTGAGGCTGACAGAAAACGTGGAAGTGGCATCGTAACCAAAATGCAAATTCGAAGCGGCGGCCACGAACTGCACTACTCGAGATCCATCACCATTGCTTCTGGCTACGCTTGACGTCGACGAGGAAGAAACGATCCTGGCGCCACAGCAAGCAGTAGCTGTCGCCATCGCCGACGACGCGAAATCGTCCAAGAGCCCTCAGAGACAATGGATCGATGATCTCGCACAATTCTGCAGCAGACTACGAACCCAAAATCCGCATCCGCCCGAACGGAGACTAATTGAACACTGCAGTGCAAAGCATCCGAAGCCTGGAAGAAAGCGCAGGGCCCCAGAAGCAAGATTGCGAAGTGTCTGGGGCATCGTGCGGCACGACGCCGATGCCCCCTTCAGGAGAATATTCCCTCCTCAGTTCCGGACCGGTCCCTCGTTCTTCACAGAGGATAAGAATCCCTCTCTGAAGTCGAATGTTGAGGACAATAGCGATGGATCTTCAGAAAACCGCTGGTCATCGGCTGGTGATTTCTTACCTCACTCCCCTACCAATAACATCTTAAAGACGAATAAACACATTGATATAATTATGTTATATTCTATTCGGCACATGAAAATTATCAAATTATATGCATGTGTCACTTCGTATCATTAGACAATGAGTTCTAATCAACGAAGTCATAGTTTGACTCTTATTAATATTACATGTGACTAATAACATCAACTAATGAATCTAATATATATATATATATATATATATAATCTAATACTATCCAACAAGAACAAATATTTACTGACATCATGCAATAATCATAGATATGATCAGTCTGTAGCTATCGATTTTATGATCAATCCTAATTAAAAAAACCTAAGTAAAAAAAACGAAAACTGAAATCTCTCTACATCCATGAGAGTGCTTGTGTATTGATCAGAGTTTGGATAACAGAAGTATGTCAATTGTTTGTCCATCGACCAAAGTGGAAGAGATAATATTGCTTTTGACTGGCAAGAAAGCCATGTGATCCAAGTGACGGAAACAAACTCATGATGCTTCTATTTCAATATATATATGTATATATATATATATATATATATATGTTGTTTTTGTTTGAAAGAGTAGCTCTATGGTTCATCTAAGGGTTTAGTTTGGGTGTTTCATCTTTCTTCTATGCAAAGTTCATTTGAATCATGCAAAGCTCAAGTTGAAGATGGCAACTTAGCTATTCTAGCATCTCCATCACTGACCACAAAACTTTTAAGCTTAGACACATGAAAAACAAAATGATTTTTTCACATGATCTTTGACAACCCTACTTGAAGTTTCATACTAATATCCTTACGAATATATGTGTTTGTATTTTTAAGCTACATAGAAACTATATATTGAAATTCCACATACATTTGATGGACAAAGTTTTGTTGTCGTGCAAATATAATATTATATATGTTTTTCTCCACTGGAAAATACGCTAGCCCTGATAACCCCGCTGGCAACAAAATCATCACACATACATAAGTTGAGCCCAACCCACTCGTCTTGAGAATACAGGTCAACGCTTGAGTGCACTTATTAGTCCTAACGCTACAGGCTTGACTTGAACAACTGACATTCTTCGAGTCGTCATTGATTCTATACCCTTTGAATTGTAACCTTAGGCCAACGGCTATATATAGCCTATACAAAAATACATGACACTGTCTATACTTAGTTTAAGCATGAAGTATCCATAATTTATATAAGTTCAAGTTCTATGTTTATGTATCCATGAAGTAAATCACAACTTAAACCAGAATATCTTGTGGACTCTTTGGTTTCAAAATCCAAAAACTAAGACGGGTGATAGTTGAAGGATTCTAACAACATCTACAAAAATTTAGAGCAAGGCAAATCAAAAACTTAACGGCTGTGCTATTATAACTAAAGTTCCCCCTTGGAATACTGATGACCCATCATTATTGATCACAAGATAATCATGATAGTAGGTAGTGAAGTTGAATTATGTAAGTTATGATCCACTAGAGTAGAGGATTCATAACTTTCTCAATGAGTGGAAATTTTCTTTAGTCAATATTTCAATATATAAAACTTGGCGTGCTCTTTTCAACGAGACCAAGAACACTGGAAACAGGTAAGGGAATCTTGAGTTACGATTGTATGCAGTGGAGAACATATTTTGGCAAAATCACAAAATCGCTTTGGCGAAGAGCCTTTAGACTTCGGTGATAACACCTTCGTCGTTACAGCAGAAGGGCCTTTGTTGAAGGAACTTCGGCAAAGTGAAAGGTGGCGTCGAATGTAAGAGAATTCAAACACTATCAATTTTGTCAATTCACACGAGTCTATGATGCAGTTAGGGCGTCGAAGTACATTGACAGAAATGGGAGTTCCGCGCCGACATTTTGCGAGAGTGCATTTGCGAATTGGAAGCTCAGTGAGAATCGCGAGTGAGAAATTGAGAGCGCAGCAATGAAGCGATCTTCGACACTTTGATTGTGAGCATTGAAGGTGTCGGAATTTGGATTATGAGCGTATCGGCAAGAATTGATAGCTGTCAAGCTCAATTTCTTGCTGTGGGGTTGGAATTGGATTTGCGCAACAATCGTGAAGAAGTGGCAAGAAGTATGCGCGCCGGACGATGAAGGACTTTGCGGCAACCCGGAGAGCTGGACAATTGAGCATTGGGCTCAAGTCTTGGGGCCGTGCGCAATAAGGACGGCGATTACACCTATGACAGCTAGAGCGTGAAGGTGATCCATGCGGAAAAGAATACCTTTGCAAAGCTTTTCAACACACGTAATGTGGCAGTGACGTTCATGGAGATTCTACGACCATCAATAACGACTTACATGACAACATGACAGATCAGATTAGAGGAACACGCAGTGACAGGCAAGCCGATTTCATTGGGCTCACATTCCCTAGAAAACTACGCACAAGATGGTCGAAGAGATATTTGGAGGATCGATGAATTATCTGTCCCCGTTTTTTCATCAATTTCTATCAAGGTATGGGTTGCTGACTGCAGCAGAGCAGGAAGATTTCCGCTTGAGAGTAAGATTGCAAACAACAAAGGAGTGTTGGGAGTAGGGTCGGAGGCACGACAAAATTTTTGCGGCCATGCCTATGCCCCATTTTGAGATCAAAAGACATGCCCCGTGCTCATAAGCATGGACGTATCACAATACGCACATTTCTAACATATACGAAGTGTATATAAATGTAAGTATAATATGTGAATGTACATATAATAATTAACTTTAACTAAAATGTAATTAGTAACATAATTAGTTTTAGTTAGTATATATTGTGCGATACTCTATAACTTATAGATCATTGCAGAGTACACACAATATATATAACATCAACACTTTTTGTCATGTGTCAACAACTCTTGTAGCAACAGAGTGATACTCATACGCTGTAAACTGAGTAAGTTTCATTCTCACAAGAATGTTCTCACCTGTTCGACTCTCGTAGCTTGTGATATATATCAGAATCGTCCATGTATGGAATACACTAAGAGTGATATGATTCTTATGCTATCCTTTAGCTAAAAAAAAAATGACTTCAGAATCATCTCGATTGCTAGAACGCTACTTCCACTTCCAAAGCTCAAACAATGATCCACTAAGAGGTGTGATAAATACATCAATGTGATATTCAAAAGGTAATCAAACTGCTATCTCTTGCAACTACCTACTTTCAAATTAATTCACATCGTAATGCACTAGGTCATGATGAATACTATCTTTGGAAAAATTAAAGTTAAAATGTTAGTGCGGAGTACATTCATAGTATCTAAAGTAAACACTTCACATTTTATTCTCAAGAATTGAGTCAAAACTAGCTGATACATTTTAACACTACACATTCACATACTGTTGAAGATTCTCATAGTCAAGATTCCAAGATACATTTTTGCACTTTTGGCGTCAATACATGGACAACTACAGATGAGTACTAGTAGAAAAATATCATTCAAGATCCATACTGGCCATCTATTAGGAAAGGAAATAGGCAGTCATCATGGTAGCACTAACATGGATTGCATTCAGCAGCAAAAGAAAAAGTAGATCATGAAACGGGTTTCACTCCAAGACAATCCAAAACATGCATGCAAAAGAAAGCAGAATGTGCTTGCATAATAGTCAAATGGAATTCACATGCCAACCTTCTTGGAAGTTTTTCTTCATAACCGCGCAATGGGGTCAACAAAAACACTAACATGATAATTCTATTCTATGAGGTGTTTGAACGTTTCTGAACATGATAACTCTATTCTACGATGTGTCAGCAGTTTCCTACATCACTTTTGCGTACTTTTGAGCTTTATTATTTGAATAGCAAGAGATTTGAGCTTCCCAGGCTGAACTAATCTAGGAATCATATCCCTGACTTGAAAAAAAAGGTGTGAGAGGAACTTCACATGAGTAAAGAAAAACACATTGAATGAGAGTTAGTTTCTAAATCATATCAAAGTAGAGTTAGAACCACATAATCTTTGAACATGCAAGAATTCAAAGGAATATGTAGTATGTACAGACGTAACAGTACATCTCACAGTATAGAGTTCTGAACAACACAGTGCGATACAATACTGAACTAAACAAAACAAAGTAACCAAACTACCACTTAGTTTATCAAAAGTGCAAACTAGTGTCAAGTATAACCCATATCGGATTTAATCATTTCACAGTATACAGTTTCAAACTAAACAAAACAATGAAACCAAACAACCACTTAGTAATCGAAAGTGCAAACAGGTGTGAGTTATAGAGGATCTCACCATATATAGTTCAGAGGTGACTTTTGCCATGAAGATATAATACAAAAAATGTCAAGATAATAAATCATCTACACTCCAATCTTCTTCATTTGTTGTTTTCATCTTTCTCCACTGCAGCCATGATGACATTTGGAGATGACTCTAGTTGGTAATTAAAAAAATCAAAATACATATCAAAATCCCTATGAAAGTCATCATTATTGTCCAAAGTAAGCTCCAAATCTTCCAGAGACAATTCATCCGCTGGCCTCATAGAAAAATCTTCATCGTCTTCAAGTGCTATGCTGAAGTAACTCTCTTGATCCAGTGCCAATGATCAAATTGACGTTCAAGAGGGTTTTGAATGCTCTTTAAGACTGGATCTGACGATGGAAAGCATTTTCATGCGTTCCACCATCATGCGGTTACGAATTTTGGTCTTGGACAATGATAGCTACAAAAACAATCTCTCCACTGCGGCATTATGAGAAGTGATAGAAAAAAGTTTCATTGCAAACAGACACAAAGTTTTTGCACCAACAACATACTGCCAAAAATCTATTGCAAATTCCCTGTTGAATTGTCAGTGAAGACTTCACTCTGGTTGATGTAGTCATTTAGTTATGCTAGCAATGAGATAGTATCCATCTTGATGAACTTCCATACTTTTGCAAGATTTTCAATATCTTTTCAAATGTCATTGTAGGTCTTCTTCATGGATATGGCAACAGATTGA